CTCCCGTCCTCCTCTTCCTCCTCTTGGCCTCTGGCGGAGAGGGTGGGGGCCCTGAGATCGGGGCGTGGCGTTCTCTCTTGAGACGCAGTGTATCGCTTGAAGCGGCCCGCCCGCCCGCACCTCTGCGGCAGCCCTCGCCGCCGGCGCTTTCGCGCCGCTGCGCGTCGGTTCGCGCCGCTCCGGCCGTCGTGGCCGCCCCTTGGCGGGGCCTGCCCCCTTCCACTGGGGAGGAGTGAGGGGAGGGGGGTTCGGAGGAAGCAAAAGGTACCAATACCGCTACCCTTCCCTCGTTGCCCGCCTGTTGGGCCTCCTGGGTGTTGGGCCTCCTGGGAGGCCCTCGTCGCCACCGCTGGATTCGCTTCGAAATTTGGGTCAGAACACACGCCTGGAGAGGTAGGTCCGGACGAGCAACACTGGGCGTCGCGTAATGGGGGCGGGCATAAATGAGGGGGCAGCGAACGCTGCACAACAGGAGCCCTGGAGGGTCCCTGAGGGGGCCCTCTGGGTCCCCAAATGGGGCCTGTAGGTTCCGAGGAGTGCACCTTTCTCCCCCCCCCTCATCGATCACCCCCACATGAAGCGACGCCCAAGCAACACACGCCCATACCCACAGGGGGGGTCGGAGGGAGGAGGGCTGGCCATGGGTACAGGTGCGGGTTGTGGGTTCCTGGGAGAGGAGGCTCCCTCATGAGCGGGGGCCCATCCGACAACGCGCACTCGTAGCCCCTTCCGTCCCCCCTATGTAGGGAGCCCACAAAAGCCGGACGCGCCCAGCTATGTACATGAACACGGCCCCTCGATTCGCGAAACCGGCCGCGTGATACGAACATTTGTGCAATGCGTGCTCTCGAAACCAGCGTGGATTCATGTACATGTACGTCCTTCTTTCGCTCCGACTATGGGTATCGGTGTGTGTGTGTGTTGTTCATTCGTTCGCTCCCGGAGCGTCCCGCCGGTTGCCCGACCGGCGCTTGCACCTGATTCGGCTCGCTTGCGCCCGCTGACTTGGCACGGTGGGTTGTTCTTTCGCCGGGGATCGGCGGTTGGGCCGCTGGTCATGCCCGGGGGCCCGTCTCGGATTGCCATGGTCTGCTTCCCGAGCAGGAGCACGTGCCATTGATCAAGCATTTGGCGAGCCAGCAGCTCTTCAGTCACTGTCGCTGCTCATGCCGGGCATCAGACACTGCGGCTTTCCCGCCCTTCGTAGAACGAACATTCACTGACGAGGGATCATCCATATCATGAGTAAAGAGGAGGAGGATGCGGAGGCGGAGGCGAAGAAGGCGGAGTTGGACGAGGAGCTGGATGTAGAGGTGGGAATGAAGGAACTGAAGGGAAGGTCCGGAAGAAGAGGGCACGTTGTATGGGTTCAAGAAGGCCAGCAATGTTGCAATCGACCCTCCCTCCAACTTCCCTCTTTTGCAGGTTCCTGGAAGCATTTCTTTTCATTGCTGGACGTGGCCCGCTAGGAGACAACCGTCTGAGACATTCGGGTCGTGCGAGAGCACCGTTCCTGGGACTTCAACGCCGCGGATGGACATGGCTGTTGCGCCCTGGCAATTCTCAGCCGTGCCGGAACACCATCTCTTGAGATTTCAATCATGCACCAACGTGACTGCTGCGTCCTGGCAGCCCTAAGCCGTGCCATAACATCATTCCTGAGGCTTCTGGGGATTCGGCCTTCGACCATACGAACACTTGAAACGGTTGCAAGCTTTGAACACACATGTGCGCGGCGCCAGGGCGAGGGCCACATGTTGAAAAACCACCCGCACTCCATCCGTGAAGCTGCGGCAAGCTTGTAAGACGAAGGCTGCTGGCCTTGAGGGGGGAACCGGGCTGTGAAAACGACCCGCCCTCCATCCGCGAAGTCGCTGCCAAGTTTCAAGATGAGTGCGCACGGCGTTGAGTCGAACGCCACATTCTGACCATGAACCGGCCTCCATGCTTGAAGCTGGTGCTAACGCTTAAGACAAACGTGCTTGGCGCGAAGGCGAGGGCCGCATCAAAAAATGGGTGCGCGGCGTTGTGGCGATAGTCACAGTTCGATCAGGGAGGGGTAGAAATCACACTGACACACTTAGTCGCCGACTCCCGGAAAAATATGGGAACTATGGGAAGTGGGGGGGAAGGCGAGCACCCAGAAAATAATGGACATATAGGGAAGATTTGGATTTGTCTATATATATGTGTGTGTGTGTCCCTGGGCTTCTTTGTTCGAAGAGGATCTGCCGTCCATTCCTGAACCTGTTGCGTACTTTAAGACGAATGCGCGTGGCGCTACGGCCACATAAACCATCCGCCGTCCATCCGTGACACTGTTGAAGTTTAAAGCTTCAGGATCATAAGTGTCGAGGAAGTCTCAGGCAAAACGCTCGCCCCGCCCCACTGACACGCTTGGGGTTGCGACAAGGGGAGGCATTTATAAGGAGCAGGGATGGAGGAGGAGGAGGAGGAGAAGGAGCGTATGAAGAGGAATGGGGAAGAGTGGGAGGATGAGGAGGCGGGTCAAGAGAAGGAGGAACAGGAGTAACATAGGGAAGGATGGACAGCAGGAGCAGGAGTAGGAGCTGGAACCCCGCGGATGTGCAGGGCCAGAGCTGGGACGAGGAGGACGTGATGGCTGTGGCGGAGTAGGCGGAGGATCGAAGACAGGGAAGAGGGAGGAGGGCGGATGAGGTGGAGGAGGTTAACCACCCACTTGGCGGCGGAGAAGGAGAGAGGGGGTGGAGGAGGAGGAGGGGGATCATGCGGAAAATGCGGATACACAAGGGTAGGCAGGGGACGGGCACGGGTATGAGTACGTGGGGGCAAAGAGGGATAACGATGATGAAGATGATGACGGCGACGAAGAACGATGATGATGATGACCATGATGGTAACACTGATGATGACACTGATGATGGTGATGATCTCGATTCTGATGACGATGTTGATGTTGATGATGATGTCGATCTTGATGATGATGATGCTGATGATGATGGTTGCGACGGTGATGATGCTGATGATGATGCTTAGCATGATGATGATGCTGCTGACGATGATGATGCTGATGATGATGATGGTGATGATGATGATGATGCTGATGCTGATGATGATGATGCTGATGGTGCTGAGGGTAATGATGATCATGATGCTGGTGATGAAGACACTGTCGATGACGATGGCGATGAGGATGTCGTTGACGACTATGAGCATATTGATGTCAGTGCTGATGATGGATGGTGATGATGATGATGCTGATGATGATGGTGATGATGATGATGATGATGATGATGATGATGCTGATGATGCTGATTCTGTTCATGACGAGGACGACGATGACGATTCTGATGACGATGGTGGCGAATGACGATGATGATGATGATGATGATGATGATGATGATGATGATGATGATGATGATGATGATGATGATGATGATGATGATGCTGATTATATATTATACGGCCACATCTAGGCTCTGGAACTGGTCAGCATGCTGCCAGACAGGAAAAGAAGTGTGCATTGCTGTCGCTCGTCTCATCTGCTGGTAAGCCTGTGGCTAGGGGGACGCCCCTAAAGCTCGCAACCTGCGGCGTGCTCCATCACGCTCAAGCGGCGCCAGGCGGCCTAAGCGGAGACTGCATCTCTATATGAGTTCATTCCAATCCTAGTGCTCTAGCTGCGTCCATCTCTGCGTCATCGTCAGGCTGGCTACACGGTGGGGGGCGGCTGGGTCGAGGAGGCCCCGACGGGCTGCTGCTGCTGGCGCGCTCGGTCGAACGGGCGCGCACGGGGGGCACGGAAGTGCGGCTGAACAGAGGGGGGGGAACGAGATCGCACAAACCGCACGGGCTGGCTAAAATCAGACTGCACTCTCCGCGTGGCACTCACTTGCTCAGTGTCTCGACCCAGCACGACAGCTCCTCCTCCAGCCACCCAGGCGGCGCGATGCCCGTGTGGATGATGATGATGATGATGATGATGATGATGATGATGATGATGATGATGATGATGCTGATGCTGATGCTGATGCTGATGCTGATGATGCTGATGATGATGATGATGATGATGATGATGATGATGATGATGGTGCTGATTGTGATGATGAAGATGATGGTGATGATGATGATGATGCTGATGCTTATGCTGCTGCTGATGTTGCTGCTGATCATGATGATGACGACGACGACGACGATAATGCGGCTACATGCGACGATAATGATGGTGAAGAAAAAGACGAATACTTATCTGAGGATACGGAGGAGGAAGAGGAAGAGGAGGCGGAGGCGGCGGAGGAAGACGAAGTGGAGCTGATTGGAGGAGGAACAGGCGGAACAGGAGGAGGACGACGGCCACGAGGAGGGGGACGTGGAGAGGTCGGCCCAGCTCTGGGGGCGCGGCGAGGGCGCCCCTCGGACCCGTCCTGGGCGCGCGGCGCGCCCCGTGGACCATCGCCTGCGTGCGGGGCGGCGGGCGCGAAAACGCAAGACCCGGAGGGGTACAGTCGGGGCGCTGAGGAAGGAACCCTTTTCGTTGGGGAGGGGCTCGGTGTTCTTTAGTTGTTTTGCATTTCGCCTCTGGTTTTGCTTAGGGTTTCGATGGGGAATCGAAGTTTAGCTTGTGGGAAAAGGGGTCTCGTTCTTTATTTAGGGTTCCTTAGGTCAAGGCCCCGACTGTACCGACAGTCCAGGCCTCAGCGGTGGGGTCAAGCGTACAACCTTGTGCAAGGAAAGGGATTCACGTCGTTCAAGTAGCCATGTCAGGCACGCGCCAGCACGCACCAGCTCTGGAGCATACATCTCTTGGCTGAAGCTTTTGGGCTCAAGTTTTTTGCCTTAAGGGATTTTTCTTGTCAGCACACGTCTCGCTTGGTCAAGCTCCCATCGTTTCACAATGGAGAAGGTTCCCTTGACCCCTAAGGAGGCGCCATTTGCTCGTTCCGTGTTGACACGTGGGCGTGTACTGTTATCAGCATTTGGCTTGGCGATTCTGGGGTACCTTGTGGGCGTCTGTGGAGATGCACACGGGGCAGGCCACGGCTTACGGCGAGGCTACAGCCGAGGATATTCAGATGGCTGCTTCTTGTTCGTTCTCAGTCGAATTTGAAACTATGAGTGGCGGCGTCAAGCGGAGCGATAGCAGCACCGGAGCTCAGATGCAGTTCAAGGTTTGTGGCCACTGGACAAATATAATGTGGATCCTCCATAGCGTAGTTGATCCTGCTGCAGGTGCGACATCAGGCCAGGCGGTGAGCAAGCGGTTCGCCATGAACGAACGGCCAACAAAGATGAGTATCGAAGCAGGCGGGAGCGATGCCTTGCAGTGACATGTCATACCCCACGTCGAAACACGATCGCTCTATGAAGTACTGGGTGGATGGGGACCAACTTGCGCCCAGATAAAGCGTATTCTCAGTGCCTTCGTTTACGGCTGGCGAGTTCACCGTTGAGTTTGAAATTATGAGTGGCAACGTCAAGTGGACTGGTAGCAAGACAGGAACACACATGCCAGTATTGATCGGTGGGCATAGGTCTTCACCACAGTGGCTCTTCCACAGTGGTGTGGGTGATCCTTGTGCAGGTGCGACATCAGGCGTGCTCAAGAGGACGACGTTCAGCATGTCACATAGCCGACAAAGTTCAGTATCAACGCAGGTGGGAATGACACCAGGTTATCAAAGGATCGACTTTGTGCTAAGCACTGGGGCCGTATACAATATCGTCAGCGCTCCCCGCAACCTTGACTTGTCCTACCCCGCGTCGAAGCACTCGCCTTCTAAGAGGTACTGGGTGGATGGGGGCCAACTTGCGCCCAGATATAACACATTCTCAGTTCCACCACAGCCGTGCCCTGGCAATGATGGTCGGCATGGGAAGGTCATGAGTGCTAGAGGAAGAGGAAAAGAAGAGAAGAGATGAGTAACAACGACGCCTGCATACATACCAACGTACCACTGAGGGCTTCGAGTGCTGAGGTCGTTGGGCTCAGGGCGTTGGCCTCAGGGCTTTTGGCTTATCGGACTCGCTTGTGATAGGCCTCTGGAGCCGACAAATACATGTACCGTCTGCGCGCATGCGCGTGCGAGCGTGTTTATTGAATTTTGCGACTGGCGGTCGCCCACCAATTCAGCTCACTGTGGGTACGTTTTGTAGTTAGCTCCGCCCAAGAGAGCTTTGGATCGCCGTCGACAGGACTGCGGCGCGGTGCCAGAGAACGACACAGCTTGCCCCTCTCCCAACCCTTTTCGGCTTCAGATCCTCTTCTCCTTCTCGGTCTCATCCTCTCTCTGCCACGTGTTTGATGGATAATCAGACGCAGGGTGTCGGAGTGGACAGCGCTCAAAGTAGTCTGCCAGGCGCCACTGACTCAAACTTCAAGTTTTGGCGATGTGGGGTTGCAGTAGTTTTTGAAGCGTTCATCTTGGAGGGGAGAAGCTTTCCCTGAGGAAGTGGCTGGGATCTCTGTGGCCGCGCCCTGAAAGAAGAATTGCTGGAGCATACATTTTGCCTCCCTGCCCGTGATGTGTCGGCATAGCTCAGGAGGCCCCGCGAGCAGCTTCAAATCGGATCTGGTCAGCAAGTCAAAACTTGATTCATGACGCGCGGTCCACTTTTTGCAGATTCATGACTCGGGCGGACCGGAGATGGTGATGACGGCGTCATCGGCGCCAGCGCAGGATATTGACGATAATTGTGTCTGAGGTGGCGATGATCACGAGAACGACGCCAACCACGATGCCGATAACGATGACGGTGACGACGATGATGACGTTGATGATGGTGATGGTGATGATGGTGATGATGATGATGATGATGATGATGATGATGATCATGATGATCATGATGATCATGATGTTGACGATGGTGATGATGATGCTGATTCTGATGATGGTGGTGACGATGCCGATGACAGTGGTGATAATGACGATGGCGATCGCGATGGTAGTGAAGATGGTGTTACTGTTGGCCGGTGACTTGGCTCAGCAAGTACGCGCTCGACACCCATGGATTCTTCTGGACAACTGCGCACACAGAAAGTAGGGAATGTTTTGAACACGCTTGCGTCTACCATCTTCCGGATATCACAAGTTTAATGCGTTGTAAGCAATTGTGTTATGATGTCGACATGCGCTTGCGGAGACGCGCGTGTGGCGCGCATTGTATGTTTGCGAAGGCCTTACGGCGGGTGCCGCCGAGCCTGGAGGGGGACGACGACGACAACGATGACGACTACGACGACGACGACGACCACGACGACGACGACGACGACGACGTCGACGTCGTCGTCGACGACGACGACGACGAAGACGACGACGACGACGACTACGACGACGACGACGACGACGACGACGACGACGACGACGACGACGACGACGACGGCGGCGGCGGCGGCGGTGGCGGCGGCGGCGGCGGCAGCGACGAAGACGCACAACCATCCATAACGTGAGGAACCTTATTTGAGTTTGCCCGCCTTGGGGTTATCTTGGGAGAGCCTTTGGGGCTCTCTTGGGCCTGTTGGGGAACTCCTGGGGGCTTCTAGGGCGCCTCGTGGGGCCTCTGGGAGGGCTCTTGGGGCGGAAGGCTCGAGCTGTCGGTTGGTGTCATCTCTCTCGGGCGCCTCGTGGGGCCCTCGTCGGCCATCCTGGAGCCCTCTTGGGCCGTCTTGGTGCCGTCGTGGGCTGTCTTCGGGCAGTTTTTGGCCGCTCTGGAGTGTTTCCGGCGTTTTCGGCAGCCTCTTAGGTTTTTGGAGCGATCTGTTGGGCTTCGTCGGCCGTCCTGCAGCTTCGGAAGCCAGAGCCAGCGAGGACGTGAAACACAGAACAAAGTTGTGAAGTAGCCTTTCTGGGCCCTCTCCGGGCTCCTCTTGCAACTCTCTTGGGGCGTCCTGAGGGTTTCTGAGGCCGTCTTGAGGGCATCTTGGGCCGTCTTGGAGCGATGTTAGCCTGTTTCATGGCCCTCTTGGAGCAGGGCGCGGTGCGAGTGAGCTCGAGGCCTGGGCCACCCCCCTCCCTCCCCGGGATCCCCACCGCCCCCGGCGGGCGAGAGAACAAAGGGAAAGATATTCCTTTCGTCTCGATGACGACGTTGCTCGATTGCCCTCTGGCTGGAACGCTTGAGGAGGTGGGCCCCAGGAAAGGGGGGAAGCGGCGACGGCGATGACGACTCACACGGGAAAACTTCAAGCTGGCGAGCGTCGGCGACGCTAGCGACTCAGTGGATAAGCATCTCACACACGCCGACAGGGTCGGCGGATTTATCATGTATGGCGAGTGCATAAAGGCCTCTAACTAAGTTATACATGCGTGCGCGTGTGGCCCGCATGATCCCGTCTTGCAGGAGTGACAACTCTCCTATTGGTTCCTGATGGTTTAAGCAAGCACGCGTTCGCAAACATAGATTACAAACCAGTCGAGCATCTATTCAAGAAACATCCTCCCGAAAAGTTGGGCCAGCGTGTCTCAGCCGATTTGCAGGAAAGCTGGCCCAGTTTCTTGAGCACGTTAGCCTCTCCAATGTGAACACCAGACTGTGGCCGAGGTTTGGTTTAGAAAGTTACGGGGAGTTTTCTGGATCATATTTACGATTGTAACAGCGGTCCTAGCGGACGTAAAGCATGCCACCCCTCAGAGAGGCCATACCAATTGGCGGGGTTTAGGGTCCTTGCGTAGCCTTTTTTGGCTAGGGTGGTCTGGGCTCGGGCAGCCAGGGCAGACGCAGGCAGCATCCGCCCGCCCGATATTTCGCATCATCCCGCTCTGTTTGCCGTTTCTGCAGATGGCCCATGCCGTGGAGTTCAGCGCGCCTGTACCCCAGCAGCGGTGCGTCGTGGACGACGACGCGAGGCTCGCCAGGGAGCTGCAGGACCACGAGGTGGCCAGAATGTACGCACAGCCGAGGATAGGCGGGCAGCCAGGAACGGGAGGGCAGCCAGGCGTGGTGGGAGGAGTGCAGGAGCAGCAACTGATGGGGGGCCCCTTCATGGTCAACGGGAGGATCATGCACGCATGTCCTCCGGGTGGACCTCATGGATGGCAGTGGCAAGCTGCGTATGGGCAGGGGCACGGCTGCAATCCATATGCTCCACAAGCGGTGCCGGTAGGCGCGACCATGGGCGCGCCTGTAAACGTGGTGGCTATGCAGCAGCTGGACCTCAATGACAAGGAGATCACGGTGCTGCGGTACCGCTGCTCGATCATGTGCTTCGCCTGCATCGATTTCGTCTCCACTCTGTTTGAGGCGTTCTACTTGTGTTCCGCTGGCAACAGCAGCTTGTCGGGAGTGATAAAGACAAACAGCATGGGGATGGACGCATCGATTGTGGGAATCCTTCAGCTCGTTTTGTTGATCGGGCCGATCTGCGGCTACTACGGAGCCAAGCTGCTCAAACGCGCCCCGCTTGGAATTTACTTAGTGTTCTGTATTCTCAAAGGGGCATTCAGCATCACACTGGCCATTCTCTACTTCTACGTTTGGCATGTGTTGGGAGCGCTGGTCCAGTTGTACCTCACGAAAATTGTCTTCAGCTGTTATCGGGCGGTTTCGAGTATAACCCCACAGCGAGCGAGCGATCTCCTCCACCCCGAGTTCGTTATCGGCAGGCCCGTGGGCAGGGCGTTCTGGTGAGGCCCTCAAGCAAGCTGATAAAGTATACGCGAGGGACGCCGAGCCCACCCTCTCTTAGGCTGCCCGCGGGCGCAACCTCCCAGAGCAGACCAGGCAGGTGCTGACAGAAGAAGAACACGGCATAACACGCAAACTTCCGGAGGACCGCGCGGATTTCTTGGATCTGCGCTGGACCCCCGTGTGGCGGCGCCTCCGCGCGCCAGAGACGGGACGTCCCAGCGCCGCTCCTGGAGATCGATGCGGGCCCCCTCAAGTTTGCGCGTTGTGCAGTTCCTTCTTCCTCTTGACAGAACCGCTCGGGAGCCTGTCCACGGAATCGGCCACATATCCGCCCAGCGCGTACCCCGCAGTGGTGCGCATTTTTTTACTCATATCCGCCCCCCCGGTGAGCTTCCCGCCTCCCCGCCCTCCAGGGGCGGCCGCAGCGAGCGCGGCGATGCTGTGCCTGCGGGAGCCAGCCGCGCGGCGGAGGGCCGCAGGATCTCCTGCGCCTGCCCGCCTCGCGGGTTGACTGGCCCTGCCCGCGTGCCTCCTCTCCCTCCCCTCCTCCCCCGCCTCCCTCCCCACCGCCGACACCGACACCACGGACTTCCTCTTTTTCTTCCTCCTCCTCCTCCTGCCCCTCCTCCTCCTCCTCCTCCTTTCCTCCTCCTCCTCCTCCTCCTCCTCCTCCTCCTCCTCCTTCTCCTTCTCCTCCTCCTCC